AGATTGTGACAAAAAAAATGGCAAGCCTGACCCCAGAGCATGTGGACATGCTCACCTTCCTCCATATTAATGCCTAGGTGGAGTAGTAAAGCAGGAAGTAAATAAGAAAAAACAAGAGAAAGATGATGTATAGAAGGCAAGAGGGAGGAAAGAAATGAAAGAGGGAGGGGAGAGAAAGAAGTGGACATTATGTTCTGTGCTTGGATGTGTTACTGACAGCAATTACCGTTTTAAAAAGTTTCAAACATGTTATACAAATTTAACAATTTGGTTTCACTGTTTGCTTTTCACTTACAAGTAACAATTTGTGTTCTTCCAGAAAGTTTAAATTTACTTGGTTCATCTGTTTTTTCAATATTTTACTTGAATTCAAGTTTTGTTTTGATTTTACTAGTTTTATTTATTTTATAATTTTATTTATATACTGTGTGTTCTGTACAGTTAAGAGAAACTTTCATTTTAATAAAAAGTTTGAAATAAGTGACCAATGGTTATATTATATATATATATATACACACACATATATAAATAAAACAATTATTCGACTAATCGAAAAAATGATCGTTAACAGCCCTAATTGCAGCCATATGCTAAAATCATTTAAGTTCATTTTTTTCCTCAATGTACACACAGCACCCCATATTGCTGTGCTGTGACCTCCTGTCACAGACATAAGTATGGGAGCGAAGGTCAGACATCCTCCCATTTCTTCCTCCAGCACTTCATGAATGAAATCCCTCCCTGCTGAGCGGTGAGTCCCGGATATCGTTTAGATTAAGTCTGCAGTCCTCCATGTATTCTCACTTGTGTTTGTTTTATAATTGATTTATTCATCCACTTTTCTTTCAATAATAAACTATTTAATGTGCAATTCCTGTGAGTTCCTGTGATGAAAGATTCATACTGTCGATTTTTAGTTTTCACCTACACTTTAAAAGTCTTCATCTGAAAGCACTGGTTTGGTTGGCGCAGTAAAAACAACATTTTCCTGTCTGGTTTTCTAATATAAAATATGAAGAATATTTAATTTGACTGATGAGGGTCATTATTATAAAGATAGTGTTTTTGTTTGTTTGGTAAGTACATGTTAAGTACATCTTGTCAGTCAGAATGAAATATCCTGATGTAGAGTACTTTGAAAAGTGCACTCATATGTCATCATAAACCACATTATTATGATTTACCATTTAGATTCATTCTGAAGATGTTAGATATTACCAGGCATCTGAGGAAAAGTACAACCGGGTCATGTACAAACAAATGTTTTCTTTTTCACAGATTTGACACCACATAAAAAAGAAGACAGTTAAAAAAAGGGGAAGTGGCAAATTTACTGAATCTCAAAACTCAAAACTGCTTTGTGTGGTCACACAGCTTTCTCCTTCCCATTTTTATTCAACCACCAAACCTACAACTGCTTTTAAGAGAAGCACATTAAATCACATTTTTGACCATCTTTCCCACATTTTCACACCGACTCATCTATCTGGGTGAAACAGACCAAAATGCCACTGAAGCAAAATGACATGTTAAACATGACGACCAACGTTTACCATCCAACCTGACAGCACTGGAGAGGATCTGCAAGGAGGAATGGCAGAGGATCCCCAAATGCAGGTGTGAAAAACTTGTTGCATCATTCCCAAAAAGACTCATGGCTGTATTAGCTCAAAAGGGTGCTTCTACTAAATACTGAGCAAAGGGTCTGAATACTTATGACCATGTGATATTTCAGTTTTTCTTTTTTAATAAATCTGCGAAAATGTCAATTCTGTGTTTTTCTGTCAATATGGGGTGCTGTGTGTACATTAATGAGGAAAAAAAATAAACTTAAATGATTTTAGCATATGGCTGCAATATAACAAAGAGTGAAAAATTTAAGGGGGTCTGAATACTTTCCGTACCCACTGTACATATATACACACATACATACATACAGATCTCTATTTTTATTTTTATCTCGTTTCCTGATGCACATTCCTTTTTGTTTGCATATTACTTCTTTACTTTCTGTTCTCTCAGCCTTATATTGTTTACTTGTCCTTTGCTATTGCCGTACAAGAGGATATGTACATGCACATTGAGAGCTGCTGTACCAGAGTCAAATTCCTCGTGCAAATTCAATGTATCAGAATCAACACACCTGGCCAACAAAGCTGATTCTGATTCTGATACATTGTAAAGACCCAACACACTTTTTGATGATATTTTATGAGGATATTTAATTTTGGTGTCTATGTTCCTTGTGTGAGTGCATTCAATCTTGTTTGTATTATGTTCCAAAAATAAATGAGAAATGAAACAAAAAGTTAAGATCAGTAACAAGCAGAATAAGTGCTAGACTGTACCTGAGCCCAGCAGCAGGCCCAGTGTCAGGGAACCTCTGCGCTGCTCTGCGTTGTAGAGGAGAGGAAGACACGAGCGCACACTCAACTTCTTGCAGTCCCCAGCAAACACACCACGACACAAACTGTCTACAGCAATGTCTGCCAGCTGGACACACATAGGAAGAAAAGAAGAAGAAAATAGCAAGTACATTTATGGTTATATATAGAAGAATAATGGTGACATTAATAAATGTGAATCTAATTTATTTACCATTAAATGAGAGGCACACATTTTTTTAAATCTATCCTAATGCAATACACATACGCTGGTTCTATATTGAAAGAATTAATTGTTTGCCATAATTATTCTTCCTGTCCATCAGGGTACCTTCCAATAATGACAAGGAGGGTTGTCCTCAATAGCAAAAAGTCACTTTCTTTACAAAAGACCAAGGTTACAACTGTATGAGATTTTCATGGTATGATAACTGTTTCAGAAAATATCATGGTTTCAGGGTATTATGGTATTACGCAATATTATCAGCTACAACCCTCAAAGCAATGTAAACAAAAGGGTCTTTTTTATTGTATGTGACTGTGCCAGTTGACTGAGCTGGACTGCAGCACTAGATTGACTCAAGATTGAATCCTGCACTGAAAATGCAAAGTATTATCACAAAAATGTACTTAATTAAAAGTAGAAGTAAGCTACTCAATGCAGAAAAATGTTATACTATACTGTTTTATGATAATACTATATATTACATAACAGCCTATCACTCACATCACTGCATTGGTGTAAAAGCAGGATTTTACTCTTGTGGTTGGTTGAGATTGAGCACTGCTGAACTAGTTTGTATCCAAGTGCAACTAGTATTTTCATTTGGGATTAAACAGCTCATTATTGCCTCCATTAATCGGCTGAGTGGTTTGTAAAACTTCTGACTATAGTGAAAAATACCGTCACAATGCTCTAAACGATTTTCAAAACAGTTCTTAATTTACTGTAGTTGCGCAATAGACCAAGCCTGCTTGTACCGTCACACACGGCCTAAAGCTTGTGTGCGTGTGCACGCATTTTTTTTTTCCTCCCTTCAGTATCGGTAATAAGCAAATATGCATGGTATACTGTTCATAATTACCTTGACGTTAGTTTTTACATAACATCTGTAAGGATAACATAATGTTGATGTTATAACTGCCAGCTAGCAAACGTTAATGTTACCAGAATGGGGGAAAATGCAATTCTGTGCAGACATAGGCTAGCTTCAGGTAACTGTCTAACTTCCATAAAACCCGAGGAATAAACATTGCTAAAGAGAGGGGCTTAACATTAGTCAAAAGCTTCACTGTCCATGTTTTTGTGGAAGTAACATAAGAATTGTGTTTTCTTTAGAGCACTCACTTCATGTCTAACATTATACAGAGCTTGCCATGTTGCACAGCTAATGTTATGTTGGGCAATGTTAGTCCCCAGCTGTTAAACGCTTTTATTTTTAGGAATATTATCCTCTGATAAAGGTTGGCAAGTGTCTAAAGTCAACTTCCTAATCTAAAACTGAGCTAAACCCTTCATGCTGAAACTTTCTATTCCATTTTGCTGTTTTTTATTATACGCATTTAACTTCACTGAACATTTAACCCAGTGGACATCCTGTCATTCTTGTCCAGTCTTGTCAGTTAAGTCATTTCTATTACTCAGACAAGTATAAGTTCATCTGTAACTTGTTAGCTAACAAAACAAAGTCTTATAAACATAGGTTTCTATCAACAGGAAGCAGAACAGGATAGCAGTGAGTTGTGGTAGAACATTTCAGGCCCAGGATATGCTGCAGGATGAGCCAGTGGAGTGTAAATTGTAGGAGGAGTGCTTGGTCTAAAGCTGCAACATTAGTCTCATTCAGGCAAGTAGAAATGTGTACATACATTTGTATATGTTGTATTTTTGAAATTTAGATTTTGTGTTAGCTGTGTATCTGTATTATATTTCACCTGTCTTGTGTGGCATTCATGTGGACGGCAAAGTAAGAATTTCATTGTATAGGGAAACACATTTCCTCACTGTGCATATGACAAATAAACACTTTGATCTTTCTAAATATTATGCATAATGTAATACGCTGAATGGTCAGATCATTGTTTTAATATCACACATTGTGTGTCCATTTACAGAGTAACCTTACTCTGAGGACAAGCCAGTAGTTCAGGTTTAGGGATTGACCGCTTTCAAGGCTGGTGGATCAGGTGAAACAGTAGGTTTCCTGTTATTAGATGGCCAGAAATAAATGTGAAATGCACCTCTCAGAGTTAAAACTGGAAGTCAAATTAGTGCTCCTCATTTTGAGTTCATCACTGTAAAAAGTGCCAATTTGTTCATCCCAAGATTAATATCTAGAGCAGGGGTGCCCACACTTTTTCGCCTTGCGAGCTACTTTTCAAATGACCAAGTCAAAATGATCTACCTACAGTTAAAATACTAAACATATATTTATTTATATATGGAGTATACCTTATGTAAACACAATATATGTTGGCACACCTTGCATAACTGCATGAACCTTAAGGCACACTACAGTTCAGCACTTTTTTGGTCTCACACTACAGTTCAGTACTTTTTTGGTCTTTAGTTTACTTTGATGACTTGCACTGAATGGAATCATCCAAGTCAGAATTGTGCTTGCTCACGTTTCTTTGTAGGGAGACTGACCCAATGTCTGTCTCACACACACACACTGACAATGTCCTTGCATACTAATATATAGCACGTTCTGGCTTTTGTACTATGTCCTTGGATGCTCCATCTATCCACACAAGGCACTCAAATCACTGCTCCTAGAACATGTATGATCTTGTATTCTCATTTGACAGTTCACTGTGTATTAATGATGGTTCACTACTGAGACACTATTTATTTACTGTTCATACAACCAAAGCATTGAGATGAATCATGAAGCTGTTTATCCACAACTTTATGTGGTGAGACAGGAGGATCTATTTGAAGATTGCCTGGTAAAGCATGTTTTTTTGCCAATGACATGGTCTAAATTATTCATAGTAACATCAGTTCCCCACGGGTCTTGATCCTCCTCGGGGGGGGGGGTATGCCGTCCTAATTTTTTTGATTAATGATGCCCTGAGTTTCTCACCTCCCCCTCATGTGTTTGTTCTGCCCTGATAATGAAACCAAATTGATTTATTCAAGAAATTATATTTTTGTTTTGCAATATAATAATTTTATTTATTTATGTAAATCCTGTTGCCAAAAATTCTTATTACAGCGCCAAAGGTTTATTAATCCATAGCCTAAAATAGATGGACTGACACACAGTCAGATTTTGGTGATTTTGTGGGGTTTTGTTTCAATTTACTCATTCTACCTTGCTTTGTATGTTAGCCAACTGTTTTCAGCATTCAAGTTATAGTGGTTATTAAGCGCAATTCACAACAATGGAAGAAATATGCTGATTTCAGATTTGTTGTAAGTTGCATCCTTGTTTATCACATCATCTTGTCATTATTTTTCATGAATGTAGCTACTGTAGGCAACCAGCAATCTGTGACAATCCAGTTCTTAGTCACATCTAAAGTCTTGATTGTTGATCAATATCAATGATTCAGTGGCTTGTTAGCCAGCTGCAGGCTTGTGGATTCCTGCCTGTTCAACTTCGTGGTCTGATACTAAATTTGAATGTAATCAGCTATATTTTAGAGATACTGTATGAATAACCCCATCATAATAATGTCCTAATTTAGTATTACCTACCAATTTAATTTTCACTTGTAAATAAAATGGCATTTATATTTAATTTCATTTTTAACAATTCATATATGGAACAAGCTTATGTGCACCCACTTTTCATGTCAACCCCACAAGAAGCAGACTTTTTTTCCCCAGTTATAGTGGAGGCCACGAAAAGTACTGCAGCCAGTGTATTTAAACAAGCAATATGAACACTGCAATTTAACTAAATTAAACAATTACCATTAAAGTATTAAGAACCAATTTGCACAAAGTTAGGCTAACCAAACTGAACTCAGCTGACCTGCTGCAGGGGCAACTGTCTTTATTTTTCTCATGGCCATTATAATTTATCTGAAAGCTGAACCCACGCTCTGCTCTCTCACTGAAGCCTGGACTTGCCAGCTCCACTTTTGCCAAAGTTTTCTGAAGTTGGGGAACATTTTTCTCAAGAAGTAATTAGAAGTGGCTATGAACATGGGATTTTCTGATCCTGAAGCATTCACTTCACCAGGAGGAATCTGCTGCATGGCTCCTTCTGCACCCCTCTGTGATCCATAGTGGTCACAGATGCGCTCTGTGGCCTCCAGTCTGTGGCTCTTCAACAGTTTAACAGCTTCCAGATAGCAAGGTGTCAAGATTCAAGATTTTTATTTGCCATTTATGCATAAACAGACAGTCTAGGCATATAGGAATTTTTGGGCCGCTCTCCTTTGGAGTCATGTAAGGAGACAAAAATCAGAAAGAACATTTAGTCTTAAAATAAAAAGTTACATGAGGGCGACAAAGTATTAAAACACAATACACAAAAATAGGGTAATAGTATTTTCCACAGTGAACTTCAAACATCGCACTTAGTAATTCACATGGTGGAGCTGGACATGTCATTACACTTTATGAGGTAGTGAGGGGTTACTGCACATACTGTATATTCTCACATTTCTCACATTTTCGTATTTGCCATCAGTCTTACTGTGGCAGGGAAGAAGCTGTTGTAAAGTCTTGTTCTGTGTGTGAGATGATACTGTCCGCCCTGCTGTGTGCGAGGCTGTAGGTGCACTTTTTGTTTCTGAGCAGAGAGTGAGCTGGGTGGAGTGAGTCTCTGATTATGTTCTCTGCCCTTTTAGGACAGCGCTGTGTGTACAGTGTGTCCATAGCAGGCAGTTCAGTCCCAGTGATCCTCTCTGCAGTCTTTATGACCCTTTGAAGAGCCTTCCTCTCTGCCTGTGTGGTGTTACCATACCAGACTGTGATGCCAGTAGTGAGGATGCTCTCTACCAGTCCTTTGTTCAGTGACCAGCTCAGGTCAGATGTCACCTGCAGGCCCAGGAACATGTGGCTGTCAGCCCTCTCTACCTCAGAGGCAGCAGAGGGAAGGGGTTCTTCCTGAAGTCTATTAGTTCTTTTGTCTTGTTTATGTTGAGGATGAGGTCATTCTCCTCTCCATAAACAATGTCATTCACCAAGTCTCTGTAACCCGACTCATCTCCCCCTTGATGAGGCCCAGAATGGTGGTGTCATTGGCATTTTTAATGATGATAGTGTTGTCATGGTTGGAGACACAGGGTGAAGAGTTTGGGGCTGAGACAACAGCCCTGTGGTGAGCCTGTGCTGATTGTGAGCTCAGCAGACACCCACCCTCCCATTCTAACTACTTGTGGTCTTTCAGTCAGGAAGTCCAGAATCCAGTTACAGGTGGGAGTTGGGACACCGAGGTCTGTCATTTTCCTAATCAGCCTACCATACATAGACATGATGGCAACTGATGTGAGCGCCACTGTCTTAGGTACCGGTATGATAATGGATTTTTGAAAATGCAAGGAACTACTGCTTGGGTTAAGGACGGGTTGAAGATGTCTGTATACACACCAGCTAGTTGATCTCCACAGGCTCTCAACACTCTAGGGGGGACATCGTCTGGTCCCGTAGCCTTATGGGGGTTTACCTGTTTCAGGGCCTTCAGGACCTGTGTGTGCGTCACCTGAAAAGCAGGTCCCCCGGGTTGCAGGGGGATTTTGAGGGGGTGTCTGTGTTCAACCTGTCAAACCTCACATAGAAGTTGTTGAGGCTGCCTGGGAGGGTGGCGTCCTGAGGGGCTGTGTTTGTTGATTTGTTCCTGTAGTTTGTGGCTGCCTGGATTCCCTGCCACATGCTGCATGTGTTGTTATTCATGTAGTAGGTCTCCAGTTTTTGGAAGTATGCTCTCTTTGCAGCACTGATGGATTTCTGTAACTCATACTGGGCTTTCCTATACTCCACTTGGTCTCCTGGACTTAAAAGCCTCTTGTCTCTTCCTGATTTTCTGTTTTATACCCCTATTAAACCAGGGTTTCTGGTTGGGGAAAACATACACTGTTCTAGCTGGTGCACATATGTGATGTAGTACATATTCATGGATGTTGTCTGTGGCCCTTTTGAAGATGCTCCAGTCTGTGGCCTCCAGACAGCCCTGCAGGCTGGCCTGTGCACAGTCGTTCCAGGTGTTAAGAGTTCTCATAAACTACACTCACAATGATAGATTCGCGCTCTCTAGGTAAATAAAATGGCCTTAGCTTTAGTGTTAAATATTCCACATCTTCAAAACAAAATTTAGAGATAATCTTAGAGTCTATGCACCAGGAATGTTTGACGAAGGCGGCCATTCCTCCCCCTCTCGTCTTGTCACTTTCAGCGGCACTGCAATCCTGTCTGAACACAGAGTAACCATCCAGAGTTATATCCTCATCAGGAGTTTCCTTTCCCAGCCATGTTTCACAAAAACACAGCAGGGAGCAGTCCTGTATGTCCTTCTGTGAGATAATCTGAGCGTGGATTTAGTCCAATTTATTATCCAGAGACTGGACAGTTGTGAACAGTATAGTGGGGAGGGCTAGCCTGCCACTGCTAACCAAGCGCCGGAGCCTCTGTTGCCCCCCCCCCCCGTCTGCCTCGTCTCCACAGGTGTGTTGAGTAGGTCTCAGTTATCCTTTATCCACACATCAGTTCCTCTTTTTCAGCTCATTTATCAACACCACAGCAATTTGGATTTTTAGTAGCCTTACTCCAAGTTAGGTTAAGGTAACTTGCCCTCTGTGTTCTAATCTGTCATTACTAAAAGAAATTAGGTCAATGACGGAAAATATTGGGTTAACCTGTGCTTAAAATTTTATAAAATGTCAAAAATTCAAAGTAGTGTAAAATTCCCCTCATATGTTTCGAGCAATGTCTTCAGTTCTTTTGTTTTCCTAGTTAGTTACAAAACTGATGAAAACAGCAAATCCTCAGAAGCCAGTTTAGCATTAGTCCCAGGAGAACAAAGCTAAGCTAAAATGCTGACATGATATGTAAGACCTGACCCAGATAAATGGAAAATATTCAGTATTAATCTAAATATCCTTTTGTATTAAGACACCAAAAACACCATTATTTGTACTTTTCCAACTGTAATGCATAACACACTGCACATTTCACATTGGTTAATATTTAGTATTATATAGTGTGAATGTCAAATTAAATATTTATATATAATTTTTGTACCTAATCATTTATATTCATACTATGGTCAGTACTGGATGGTGAAAACAGGCATTACGTTTTAATTTATATGACATTAAAAAGGTCTTAAATTTCATTTTGTGAATGTGGCATAACCCCTGCCACAGTCCTCGTCCTGTCTGAAGATAGAATCATAAATAAATAAATAAATAAAACTCATCTGAGGCCATAACATTCAAGCCTTGTTTTATGACAAACTTGAACAAATGTAAACTTATCCTTTAAGCCAAAGAATCACAGCCCTAAATCAGATTCATTTACAATGAAAATATTCAACAGATGCTTCCCAGTTCTCAGGCTTTACTGCTAACATGACACTATGTCCGATGTCAGTTTAATGAAACTCACAGTGGTGTAAGAACTATGAGAATTGTTTCTGAATACACAGGATTATCCAGAAATCAACTCAAGTAAGGCTCTGGATCATACATCGTGCTGGCTGACAACTGGACAGCAAAATAGTTGGAGAAAAAAAAATCTAAACGAAGATCACTGTGACAGAAAAAGTCAAGAGAATTTCCCCTCACCTCCTTTCCCAGCCGCCTAGAAACAAAGGAATGGATAGACTCGTCATCCTCCGTGCCTTTCTTCACCAATATCTCCATGGCGATATTCAACAGAAGGGGGCGAGAGAAGGGTGGGACTGTTCGCAAAAGTCCACTGAAAGAAAGATGGAGAAACAGGCACACTGTGAAAGAGAAATAAGTAGTTCATGTACAAAAGGACCATAATGGGCCCTTTTCACAATGATGTCAGCTAACATTCAGATTCTGTGGCAAGGGGGTATCACTGTTTGTGGTTCTGGGGCAGGTTAGCCTGTTGCCTCACAGTGAGAAGGTTGTGGGTTCAAGACCTTTCTGTGTGGAGTTTGCATGCTCTCCCCATGCTTGCGTGGGTTCTCTCCGGGTACTCCGGCTTCCTCCCACTGTCCCAAGGATATGTGCCTTAGGTTGATTGATGGCTCTAAATTGCCTGTAGGAATGTATGTGTGTGTGTGTGTGTGTGTGTGTGTGAGTGGTTGTTTGTCTGTGTGCTAGCCCTGCAATGGACTGGCGACCTGTCCAGGGTGTACCCTGCCCGCAGCTGGCTGGGATTGGCTCCATGACCCCGTTTGGGACTAAGCGGTTTAGAAGATGGATGGGTTCTGGGGCAAACAGATCTAAAGCTACAGTAGAATATTTCCTTAACACTTGTTTCAAAAAAAGCATATTAGCACCCACTAGAATATTATTTACAATGTAAATCACATTTGTCCATAATGTAATTTATTTTGATTTATTTTTTGTTACTACTTTAGATCATTGGTAAACGGAGCCCTATGACAGCTAGCAACTGACATTCTCAGTTACTGTACACAGGAGTAGCAGAGTAGTCAAATTTTATTTGTATAGCCCAATATCACAAATTTGCCTCAAGGGGCTTTACAATAGGCACAGCCTGCTACAACCTGTTCCTCGAATTGGATTAGGACCACCCCAAAATCCTGTATACCGGACAGATCAACATAATAGATTAATATACTGTAAATGTATTGGTGGGCAGCACGGTGGCACAGTGGTTAGCACCGTTGCCTCACAGCGAGAAGGTTCTGGGTTTGGGCCCCACGCCGGACCCTTCTGTGTGGAGTTTGCATGTTCTCCCCGTGCTTGCGTGGGTTCTCTCCGGGTACTCTGGCTTCCTCCCACAGTCCAAAGACATGCAGCTTAGGTTGATTGGTGTCTCTAAATTGCCCATAGGAGTGCATGTGTGGGTGTGTGTGTGGTTGTTTGTCTATGTGTTAGCCCTGCGATGGATTGGCGACCTGTCCAGGGTGTACCCCGCCTTCGCCCGATTGCCGGCCGGGATTGGCTCCGCCCCCGTGATCCCGCTCAGGGAACAAACGGTAGAAAATGAATGAATAAATGTATTGGTTTAATATGAATAGATAATACCTTAAAAAAAAGCTGTACAGTTTAGCTGCAATATCAATAGCTTCACTATGCTAACTAGGATCAAGACATGGGTTATCAACTGGTTCAGGCACAGTCCAGTCACACGCAACTTCACAGGAATGTGTCATATACAAATACAGTAAAACCTTGGATTGCGAGTTACTTGGTCTGCGAGTTTTTTGCAAGACGAGCAAAAAATTTTGTATAAATTTTAACTTGATAAACGAGCGACATCTTGCAATACGAGTAGTACGTACACTGTCTGCCGAGCGTCACATCACAACTGAGCCAATGATTCTTCTCTCTCTTTCTCGCTGCGGGATAGTGAGTACAGTAATTGTCTCCAGGTCTCACTCATATAGTCATTTGTACTGCAACAATGGACCCATTGGAGAAGAAGAAAAAGGTTGAAAAGGAAGGCGGTAAGAAGGAAATTATTACAGTGGAAGTTAAAAAGGAAATTATCCAGAAGCATGAATAAAGTGTGCGAGTGGCCGACATCATGAGATTTTATAACAAGTCTACGTCGACAATTTGCACAATATTAAAGAAGAAAGTAGAAATAACAGGGCTAGATGCAGCAAAGCTGTTATTTTTAAATGGATAAATGGTTGTGGAATGAATCATCAGCATACATGCATACATATACAGACGTGGACAAAATTGTTGGTACCCTTCTGTTAAACAAAGAAAAACTCCCAATGGTCACTGAAATAACGTGAAACTGACAAAAGTAATAATAAATAAAAATTTACTTTGCTTTTGAATTGTGGTTCAACAAAACCAATTAAAAAAAAGAAACTAATGAAACTGGCTTGGACAAAAATGATGGTACCTCTAGAAAGGATTGAAAATAATTTGACCATAGAGACATGTTAAACTAAAGTGTGTCCTCTAATTAGCATCACAGGTGTTTTCAAACTTGTAATCAGTCAGTCTGCCTATTTAGCGGGTGAAAAGTAGTCACTGTGCTGTTTGGTATCATGGTGTGTACCACACAGAACATGAACCACAGAAAGCTAAGGAGAGAGTTGTCTCAGGAGATTAGAAAGAAAATTATAGACCAACATGTTAAAGGTAAAGGCTATAAGACCATCTCCAAGCAGCTTGATGTTCCTGTGACTTTTAAATGCTTCTGTTTAACCACAATTCAAAAGCAATGACTGGTTTTCATTAGATAATTTTCAGTAAATTTTTATTTGTTATTACTTTTGTCAGTTTCATGTTATTTCAGTGACCATTGTGAGTTTCTCTTTAACAGAAGGGTACCAACAATTTTGTCCACGTCTGTATATTGGAGAGAGAGAGAAACACACACACAGTGGATACGAAAAGTATTCAGACCCCCTTAAATTTTTCACTCTTTGTTATATTGCAGCCATATGCTAAAATCATTTGTTCATTTTTTCCCTCATTAATGTACACACAGCACCCCATATTGACAGAAAAACACAGAATTTTTGACATTTTTGCAGATTTATTAAAAAAGAAAAACTGAAATATCACATGGTCATCCAATGAGGGGTCATTTGTCTGTGTGCGGAAATCTGGGACCAAGCTATTGTCCTGCAAATGAGGAGAGTGTCAGCTCTAACTGTACCGTGTTCCATCTTTATTTACTTTTCAAAAACAAAACATCAAATGGTATTTACACCTCCTGACAAATCTCACAAGTGTTCCCTTTCGTTTGACACCAAGAGTAACCAAATACACCGTGTGGTTGCGGAGATATACACATTT